ATCTATCTATCTATCCATCTATCCATCTATCCATCTATCCATCTATCCATCTATCCATCTATCCATCTATCCATCTATCCATCCATCCATCCATCCATCCATCCATCCATCCATCCATCCATCCATCCATCCATCCATCTATCCATCTATCCATCCATCCATTCACCCATCCTTTCCTGTTGCTTATTTGGAGTTGGGTTGCAGAGGTTTAAGAGATCCCAAAGTGTTCCCAGTCCAGTGAATACACCAGTGGATTCCTCCCATTGGAAAATGCCTGGACAAACGTCAGAGGGAGGAGCTCAGGATGCATTCTAATCATGTGTGTGAATCGCCTCAGCTGACTCCTTTTGATGAGGAGGAGCATGGCTCTCCTCCACGCTCCTCTCCTTGTCTCTGAGGCTAAACCCAGCTATCCTACAAAGGAAGCTCATTTTAGCCACTTGGATCCAGGATCTCACTTTTTCAGTCACGATCCAAACCTCCTGATCACAGGTTAGGGCTGGAACGTAGATTGAAAGCTTTGCTATGTCACGCCGCTACTTCTTCACATTGACAGACCGGAGCAACATCCCTGTTATTGCAAACAACGGCTTCAATTCTTTTGTAGCGTGTTCTAAAATAATCAAACTTTAAAGAAGTGATACGGATTAATACGGAAAATGCAACAACAACTATTTAGCAAACATTTTAAAGGAATCTACTGAAGAGGTATTTTGAATCTGATCAAATCCACTGAAACACTAATTTGATGTTCTCTCAGGTTTGTGGTGAGGGCAGGAGTCGCAGATCCATCAGGCGTCATTTCGCAGATTTAGACCCAGCTCTGATCAGTTTGGCCTGGACTCTTTAGGTAAGTAAAACCATGGGCTGGTGGATTGGACACCGACTCTAAATTAAGTTTTACATTTAATATTTTTATATTCTTTGTTAATGAGGATCCAGATACATGTAGAACCACAGTGATGGAGCTAAGTGATTTGTTGAAATAATATTTGGTGCCTTTATCAGAAAGAACTGATAAAAAGGCGCTTTCGCCTGCTGATGTGGAAACTGCTGATCTGCGGAGGGTTAGAGACCAAACAGGTTTAGATATTTCTGTGCATAAAGAATAAAAAGTTGTTTTTTTATCTTCTTAGGTGATTCTGAGTCTGAAATCCTCACTGTGATCTGGTGGCAGCAGAAACTCTGTTTTTACTGAAATACTTTGTTCTACTTCATTAGAATTTAAAATGGAAGGAAAGTAAAAGGTGATAATAAAGTATATTTTATTAGAAAATGTTTATTTCTGAAGCACTTTTAGCTGGTCTGGGGAGTTACATTTGGCATTATCTTGCCTTTATAAATTAAAAAAGGCAATGTCTATGATAATAAATATAATAATAATTACGGTGAACTGTTTGAGACAAGTTAAAATCATTTGTCAAAGTTTAGAAATGAAGAAGGGAAAATACTAACATTATTCATGTGATTGTATTTTAAAGTGATCTGATCTTGAATGGTGAGTTGTTCTCATTGACGAGTATAAATGTGGAAATAATATGATATACCTTTGTATTATCTTATCCTGTTATTAACTGATATCACTTAACAAATAAAAATGGAAAAATGATTGAGTATTTCTTCAATAAATCCATCTACATTGTTTCATCTTGTTTGTGCAGCTGCATGATAAAACCTTTTAGCTTTCACATTTTTACTGTATGAAAGAAACTGAAGCAAGTAAAATAACTAATAATGTAAGTGGCTTATTTATTATGGCACAGATTAATAAATGTGTGTTAATTATAGAAAGAAAGCAATGTGAGATCAATTAAAGATTGATGAGTTATTACATGATAAAATATCAGTTTTTACAAAAAAAAAAAACAGTGGTTCCCAACCGTGGTCCTTGAGGAACACCATCCTGCATGTTTTACTTGTGTCCCTGCTTTGACGCACCTGATTTGAATGACTGGGTGATTAGCATACTTCTGCAGAACTTGAGGAAGTAATTAGATCACTGAATCATGTGTGTTGGAGCAGGGAAACAACTAAAACATTCAGGATGGTGTTCCTCAGGGACTAGTGTTGGGAATCACTGATCTAAACAATTCTATTTTAAAACTGGTTTATTCACCAGAAACATATCTGATATTGGAAATCTGGTAAAAAAAAAAAAATGAACGAGTTAAAAAAAATACATTCAGTTCAAGTGAAAGGAAGGTGACACATCTCACCTTGCCGCCAGGGAGCGCAGTGAGACCAAACAGGTGACAGGAGAGGAGGTTAGTGAGGACAAGGAGGAGGAGGAGGAGGAAAGAGGAGTCCAGAGAGCTGTGGTGCTGTTAGAGCTGCAACATGAGACCATCATCATCTTCTTCATCACCTGTTTGAGGCAGAAAACTGAAGAAATGAGCAGTTTGCTGCTTTATTTAGGATCTCCAGCACAAACACCAGCATTTAAAAGTAAGTTTAAGCTCCAAGATCCACTAATAGTACATTAAACAGGATTATTGAGCATGCATCGAGATATTAAACAGGATTATTTTGTGTGTTTTTGAAGCTAGGAAAAGGCCCATAAGTGAGCGGTCATTATAGCTCCAACTGTTGATGCATACACATGTTCAGGAGTTCAAAAATGCAATAAAATAAACTCTGCTGGCTAATTATCAGCGTACAGGTTACTGTTACAAAGGTGATTAACAACAACTATAATTATGGTCTTGTTTAGATTTTTAAACGTTGCTGTTTTAGAAACTTGATTTGTCTGTTTTATTACCTTTTTAGCTATTTTGAAGTGTTTTGTTTTTGCCATGATAAACACAAACAAACTATGGAAAGCCATTTCATTCAAAATTAAATAAATAAATAAATAAATAGTGTTATTTAAAAATTATTAATCAATATTCCATTAAATAAATAAATGTTCCCATGAAATAAAACATTTAAATATAATTGTTTATTTTTTTTTCTCTCCAAGATTTATTATTTTTATTTCAAGGTTGTTGTTTTTTTCTTCCAAGATTTATTTATTTATTTAATAATGGAGTTTCATTTTGTGACACTTTTATTTTGTAAATCTACTTTACATATTTCAGGGGCTTTTATTTTTTTAACCCCGTTTTTTCATTTTAAACTCTTTATTTCATGTTGTTATATTCAAATGAGGGGGCGGGGTTTTCTCTGTGGGGCGGTTCTGGTCAGGATTAGCGGATTGCATCTGTTTCGAAGTCATTGCAGGCATGTCCGCTATTGTGCTCCAGCCCGTGTGGAAACATTGGCTGCACATTGGTTCCTCTTCAAAAACAAAGGGCCTGCATGTGTGTGTTTGATAGTGAGAAATGCAAAGTGTGTCGTGTGCACGTCATGAAATGCGTGTGTCTCACGGTCAATGCGTGAGACTTGAGAGGCCATCGTTTATTTTATTTTTGATTTAGTTATTGATTTGCCCGGCCTGTAAAACTCATAGATGGGCTGCATTGACCCAGAGCAGACCCGCCCCACAGAGAAAACCCCGCCCCCTCATTTGAATATAAGAGCATGGAATAAAAAGAGCTTAAAATGAAAAACGGGGTTAATAAAAATAAAAGACCCTGAAATATGTAATGTAGCTTTACAAAATAAAAATGTCACAAAATGAAACGCCATTATTAAATAAAAATAAATCTTGAAATAAAAATTAAAAAAAATCTTGGAAAAAACAAAACATTTTCTATTTAAATGTTTTATTTCATGGGAACATTTATGTATTTATTGGAATATGTATTAATAATAATAAAAAAAACAACAACACTATTTATCCTGATGCATGCTCAGGTAGAAAAATCCAAACTTAACTTTTTTAGAGCTATCTATTTATTTATTTAATTTTGAATTAAATGGCTCTCCATAACAAACAAGCTTATTATTGTGCTATTCGTTGTGTTTATTTTATCCGAGTACCATATTTTTCGGACTATAAGGTGCAAATCTACAGTGAGCCTTATAATCCAGTACGCCTTATGTACAAATTAATTCTGGTTGTGCTGACTGACCTCGAACTGATATGATGTGGTTATTGTGAATGAGTTGAATAAAGTTTGACTTAACTGTTTTGTTTCGCTTAATGCGCCTTATAATCCGAAAAATTATCTTCAAAATGGATACAAATGGAGAAATATTGTCTAAAAATGTAGACTATATTTTAAAGGGTTTAACATGCCAGACTGTGTTTTTGTGTCTTATTTTGGTAATAAACCCCTTCAGTATAATTTAACCCCCCTTTAGTGTCCAGAGGATTGGTTAGTCTGGATTAATCGGAACGATGAAGAAGAATTAAGTGTCTTCATAAATGTTTCAGCCTGAGCTGACTCCATGGAGTCTGCTGAAGCCGAGGCATCATGGATGCCGCCAGCTACAGAGACAACCTGAGGGCCTCGGCGGGGAGGATGAAGTGGTGGAGGGAGCTGAATGGGTGGAGAGGCGCAGGGAAACAGAGGAGAGAGGAGGTTGGAGAGCTGGTGGAGGTGCTGCTCCAGGGCAAAGCTCCGTGGGGTTTCACCCTGAGGGGGGGCACTGAGCACGGAGAGCCGCTGGTCATCACAAAGGTACGACTTCTCTTTGCTTCTGAGAGGAAACTGTTCAAATACCTTATTTAATGCACAAAGCGGACCCCAAGTTTTTAATATTTGCTGTTGCCAGGTAGAATTTCAGATCCTCCCCTCGAAAAAATCCAGGGGTGACTTCTGGTCACAGAGTACGAAACTTCGATCTTTAAGCTCCAACCACAGTGAGAAACATTACACTAAAGATTTAAATTTGGCGCTCCAATTAGAGTCAGATTAATCGGCGACCACAACATACATCTACGTAAAAAAAAAAAAAGATTGTAATGTTCGTTCTCGAGGACCGGAATCCGAATCCTGACAGTGCTGTTGCTTTTCTCTCCATCTGCCGCTCAAGCACCTCCGATTACAGCGTTTAAATATTAACCAGAGCGTCAGGTTGCAGCCTCCACAGGTTCACCTGAAGTTTCAAGAGAAAACGCTGACTTTAAACAATTCAGTTCAATTCGGTTTATTCATATTGCGCCAATTCACAGCAGAGGTCATCTCAAGGCACTGAACAGAAATAGTCATACACATAAAAATCAGTTCAAGGTTCTTTATTGTCATTCGCATCACATGTGGTCCATGAGGTGGATAGTTAATAATATTTATCTAAGCAGCCAGCTGTGAGTTTTCACTTCGTCGCAGTCTCCCATCCTAAGCGAGCACAGGATGCAACAGTGGGAAGGAAAAACTCCCTCGTGTGGGGAAAAACCTCCAGCAAACCAGGCAGGACAAGCGTCCATCTGCTTCGACCAGCTGGGTTTGAGAGGAACAGGAAGGAAAAATGAACATGCAATGGCAGGTCCAGGACAGAGTCCATCAGGTTATTCTAGGAGGAAAGACAAATAGACATAATCACATGTTAGGAAAGAATAATTACAAATACAATTCATTTGATGAAATGGGGGCAATTTGTCCTCCAGTAGTCTAAGGTTATAGCAGCATTGGATAAGGAATACGTCAGGAAAAATGAGCTGACTAACTATAGGATTTATCAAAAAGGAAAGTCTTAAAAGTGGACAATGTGTCAGCCTCATGGACAGAAACTGGAAGTTGGTTCCACAAGAGAGGAGCCTGATAACTGAAAGATCTTCCTCCCGTTCTGCTTCTGGAAACTCTAGGAGCCACGAGTAAACCTGCAGTCTGACAGTGAAGTTCTCTGTGAGGAAAATATGGCACAATAAGATCTGTAATATAAGATGGAGCTAGGTTGTTGAGGGCTTTGTAGGTTAGAGGTAAGATTTTGAATTTAATTCTGTACTTGACAGGGAGCCAATGGAGAGAAGCTAAAGCTGGAAAGATATGATCTCTCCCAGTAAGTCCAGTTAAGACTCTGGCAGCAGCATTTTGGATCCACTGAAGACGTTTTAAAGAAGTATTTGGACACCCAGATAATAAACCGTCGCAATAGTCCAGTCTAGACGTGACAAATACATGAACCAGTTTGATGAACCTGCTGGCGTGTTCTATCTATTGTTTTTACTGTCATCACTCGCTCTATTACTTGTTTGACTGAAAATCTTGCGTTTAAGGGGCTTGACAAATGGTGATGCAGGGTTTATTCCAGGAGATGGTGCTAAAACAACAGGTTTTTTTTGTCTAAAGCGTTCACCTAGACAGTATTTAAGCAGAAAACAAAAAAAAAAGCTGTGACAGGAGCTTCTAACACATCTGCTTGAAATATTAAATGCAACAAATGTAAGCTTTATGTTGTCATGTGAAAGAAAATAGTGTGTTTTTGCTGATGATGTGATGTTGTATGATGGATGCAGGCTGCATACTGTGCTCATGTCTCAGTTCAAATAAGTCAAAATGGATCTCTGGAGGAAAAAAAACATTTCCTTCAGTATAAAAATCTAGAAAATGCACTGGGAACTGAAAACATGAAGCAAAAAAGAAAGTTCTAGTTGTCTTTTTGTTTTGTGGACAAACCATTCTTTGTCTACAAAGTATTATTGTCAGCAAAAACTTTGATTTGAGGAATTTCGCAAAATAATATTTAGGCCCGATTTCATTTAAAAGGCCCATGTCTGAGATAAAGGTTCATGTTTCATCAAATTTTGTGTTTTCAACAGATTTATTGAAGAATTACCGTACTTTCCACCATACAAGTCACATCAGTCCAAAAATGTCTAATAAAGTGGGGAAAAAAGACATAAATAAGTCACTTCGCCGTATAAGTTGCATCTATTATGTGTCACCGCTGATGTGTCACGTTTGTTATGCGTGCGCGGGAGGACTTTAACAAGAATTTAAGAAGATTAACATTTAAGAACAATTATTTGTTCGCTCAAAATTATAGCAAAGGTGTGTCTCAGTTGAACTTTTCCATAATAAATGCACTTTAACGGTCAGATCAGCTGCATTTCGCCTGGGGGATGCAGCGAAATGCAGCTGATTTGACGTTTGCTCCAGGAGTTCCGGAGCGAGACGAAGGTGGTTTGGTATGGCAAGCCGAGTGTCTCATTAATAGCCACTTTTACCTATTAATGAGACACTTGGCTTGCCATAAGGTTTGATGGCCCTCTAGTGGCTGAAAATGGTAGTGTTCAATATTTTCCATGTCAGAATGAATGAAATTGTCAGATCTCAGCAAAAAATTGGTTTATAAATATGGGGGGAAAAATATATATATTAGTCGCTTCGGTGTATAAGTCGCAGGACTTGCAAATTTATGCAAAAAAGTGTGACTTATATGACAAAATATACGGTATTTAGTTGAAAACCTTCTGTTGACTGTTCAGGTTGATGCTCCACCTCAGTCCTTGTCTGCAGGTGGAGGAGGGCAGCGTGGCGGCGGTCCGTCTGCAGGCCGGAGACGAGATGGTGAGCGTGAACTCCTTTCCTCTCAGCGGCTCCCGTCAGCAGGCCATCTGCCTGGTGAAGAGCTCCCACAAGACTCTGACCCTGGTGGTCCGGAGGTACCAAAACCATTGTAACATCGTTTGATTTTATTATATGATTAGCCCAAATTCCTAAATGTTTCTAGGTTTTTAAATGCATCTGAGCAGACGTTTGAACAATTGTTCATTTGTTTCCTGCATGTTGCTTTACTGGCTCAGCTTAGGGAGAAATACCTGTTTTAGATTAACTGCCTCTCAGCCGTCAAGTGGTCAAAGGTCAAAGCTGTAGTCCTCTGACAACAGATGATCTCTGCAAAGAATGTTTTGATTAGAACAACTTGTAACAGACAAAACTCCAAAGCTGATGACATAGAAAGACATTAGATCTTGAAAATAGCATATTGGCTTCATCTGTTCATATATTTTTTTTAATGAAGATGGGGGTGAGCTGAAGCAGAGGCGGCTTGACAAACCTTCCACATGGGCCCCTAGCTGCCTGTTTGCTCCTGAGAGGGCAACAAAAGCTCGTATTGTGGAAGCAGTTGAGCTGCGGCCAGCAGCGTTATTTCACAGCGACGATAACGGCTTGTAAATCAGACTGAGTCTGTCAGTCCTGACCCGACCCAAACCAGCCCCAGTGTCCTCGACGAGGGGAGAAAATTGACTTTCAAGCTCAGTTTTGACTTTTAGGTCAGCACGTAGAGAATAAAAATAGGTTGGTGTCAAAGTCCTGATTTTCATGTTCAAAACTGTGTTTTTAAAGCAAACGGGCAACAAAGATTCATAAAAGGTTTTTTTTTCTTAAGAAAAAAAATGCAGAAACTTGCAAAAAATGGCCAAATATCTTGTCAACCTTCCATGTGGTAATTTTCTTAACTATATATATATACACACATACATACACACACACATATATATATATATATACATATATATATGTGTGTGCATATATGTATATATGTATGTATATAAATGTATAAATATATATATGTATATTTGTATACATATATGTGTATATACAGACCCTTTCCAAAAGTATAGAATATCCTGGAAAAGTTGTTTAACTTCCATAATTCCATTCAAAAAGTTAATATTTAATAGATGATAGATTCAGGGCCTATAATTTAAACAATTTCAAGTATTTATTTGTTTATTTTTACATAATTTGACTCTGACTCTGATCATTTGGGCGTCTAGCTCATGAAACCCATGAAAACAGGATTTCAAAAAATTAGAATACTGTGAAGACATCAGCCCAAATTTTGCAGGGCATGAATGTTTTAAACTGAGTGTGACACACTAATCATCTATGATACTCAAAGCACCTGCACAGGTTCCCCCAGGTGTCATTAAATTGCTTCAGTTCGGTTCAATATGGGGAAGACTGCAGACATAACTGGCCAGAAGACCATCATTGATGCCCTCCATAGGATGGGTAAGCCACAAATGTTCATAGCTAAGAAGGCTGGCTGTTCACAGAGTGCTGTGTCCAAGCATATCAATGGAAAGTCTAGTGGAAGGGCAAAATGTGGCAGGAGAAGATGCACCAGCAAAAGAGATGTCCATGGGCTTCAGCGGATTATCAGAGAAGATTCCAGAATCTGGCAGAGATCCAGAAAGAGTGGAATGAGGCAAGAGTCACAGCTTCAAAAACCACCACATTCAGATGCATCCGGGAGATGGAGTACAAGTGTCGGGTTCCTCTGTCCTCTTTTCTGATGAAAGTAAAGTGTGCCTTTCTTTCGGAAATAAAGGTCCAAGGGTTTGGAAGAATAAAGGATGAATTAAATCTTTTAGCGCATCGTTTAGTACATCGTTTAGTGCATCATTTAGCGTTCGTTTAGCGTTCGTTTAGCGTTCGTTTAGCGTTCGTTTAGCGTTCGTTTAGTATTTTTTTAGCGTTCGTTTAGCATTTGTTTAGCATTCGTTTAGTGTATATCTTAGATTGTTTAGCACATCATTTAGTGCATTGTATTACACATCGTTTAGTGCATCGTTTACCTTTTGTTTAGCTTTCATTTAGCGTTCATTTAGCGTTCATTTAGTGTTTGTTTAGTATTTTTTTAGCGTTCGTTTAGCATTTGTTTAGCATTCATTTAGCATTCATTTAGCATTCATTTAGCATTCGTTTAGCTTATATCTTAGATCTTTTAGCGTACCATTTAGCATATCTTTTAGTGTATCTTTTAGCATTCATTTAGCATTCGTTTAGCATTCGTTTAGTGTATATCTTAGATCGTTTAGCGCATCATTTAGTGCATTGTATTACACATTGTTTAGTGCATTGTTTAGCATTTGTTTAGTGTTCGTTTAGCATATATCTTGGATCATTTAGCTTATCGTTTAGCATTTGTTTAGCATATATCATAGTGTATATCTTAGTTTGGTACCACTTTACAATAAGGCTCCCCTTATAATGATGGCTAGTAAATAGTTTATAGTTATGTTATTAATTCTCTACAAACACTTTATAAATCATTAATAACCACTTATTATGCATTAATGAAGGGTGACAGGGAGACAAGACTGACCAGTTTCTTGCCTGTGAGCCAAATCTTTTCACCTCTATATTTCATCTAGAGTTATTATATTAAACATTTCAGACTAAGTTACTACCTTGTAAGCACAATAAGCATTTGTAAACCTAATTTTTTTCGGATATAATATTAGATACTTATAATGCAGTGATAAAGTACAATATTATACGCTAAAGAAATAGGTTTACAAATGCTTATTGTGCTTACAAGGTAGTAACTTAGTCTGAAATGTTTAATATAACAACTCTAGATGAAATATATAGGTGAACAGATTTGACTCACTATTTAGCAAGAAACTGGTCAGTTTTGTCTCTTTGTCACCCTTAATTAATGCATAATAAGCAGTTATTAATGATTTATAAAGTGTTTGTAGAGGAATTAATAACATATCTATAAACTATGTATGAGCCATCTATAAGGGGAGCCTGACTGTAAAGTGGTACAGTCCATTTAAAATGTAAAAAGAGCATCTGAGTCACCTGTTGCTTATTGCTTAAATTTTCAGAACAAAATCAGTTTGTTTTTTTTAATCAGACGTGTTTAGAAGAAAGAATAACTCAATTAGCTGCTTCCTAAACCCTTTTCCTGCCATGTGCCGTTGACGTCTGTCCTGTCAGAATTATATACACACCAGTAAACAGTAGAGGGGTCTTAAATCTTGAATCCTATTAGTGATTGTAAAGCCACAGGCCTGAGCTGAGCTTTGCTGAGCGGGTGGGGTCAACACGAAGGGACAGGTGCCCTGCTGGATCCCGTCAGCTACCTGCGGAGGTGGAAACTGTTGGTCTGAGGAGGGTTCGAGAGCAAGCAGCGGCTTTGAAATAAGAGCAGAAATGTCCAAGCTGGACCTGAGAGCTCACTGAGTTTGTGTCAGAGCTCCCCCCCAGCCCTGAGGGCCCCCCTCAGGCAGTGGCAGTGGTACAGCCCGTGTTGCCTAGGTGAGCTGACACTGCTTACAGGCCATATCAGCAGAGCTCATTGTTTTCAGGAGCTTTGGTTACTCTGAGCTGAGAGTGGGCGCTTCGATCTGGTCTCTCTTTGGACATGGTGTGAGACTTTCACTGACAGGTATTTCCTCCAGCTTTTCTCCAGTTTTGATGTGTTTTTGGCTCCCCAGAGGTGAGGTTGGATCAGAAACAAGGGAATAAGATGATTCTTGATCAGAGGCATCAAGGTTTTTTTTTGTTTTGTTTTTTTAATCTTCCTAAAATGTCAGCTAAAAACTAAAAATCTTGATTTCAAATAAGCTGAAGCTAGTTGAAGTAAATCTGTTTTTACTGTGTGGGTGGTGGTGGTGGTGCTGGGAGGTGTCTTTGTAAATCTGTTGTTGAATCACAGGCAGAGAAACAGCTGATCTTTTCCCACAGTGTGTAAAAAAAAAAAAAAAAAGCTTGTATCTGCTGTTAAAATCAGCTTTTAAAAAAAAAAAAAAAAGAATCAGGTTCTTTCATGTTAATTTTCTCATTTTTAAATAGTTTTGACTCTAGAAGTAATTTTTATCAGGACTAACAGAACAATTGTTTAAATACTCTCTCTCTTTATATAAACTGCAGTTTATTCCATTTCTTTTTCTCTCTTTTTAATTTCCATTTTACCTAAATTAAACACAAACAGAACAAAATAAACCCACTCTATGGAGAATAATTTAATTTTGTGTGTGTGTGTGTTTGTAAATTCATGCTGATTTTATTCCTTTGCTGTTAGGAAAAAGTTAAATGTAAAAAATAATTGATTTTATTTACATTTTATGTTGCTTTTTAATCAGGACCTCTGCTGGGGTTAAGAAAATACCAAATCTGATGGATTTATTTAATTTACTTCCAGCTTTATAGTTCCATAATGTTAGTCTGATTCTGGTCGTCACAGTTGTGTTTGCTCTCTTATTGAAGTTTGTTTCTTTTTCCCTCCATCCTTTCCTGTTTTTCCATCCGTGCGGCGACGCACTGATAAGCCCAGCTGTGATGAAGCTGGCACTTTCTATTGTGTGTTTGAGTTTGGGGCTCAGCGGGGTGAGATCGGCCCCACAGGCTGCTGCTGATGCTCGTTGGAGCTCAACTCTGTCTGAAAGTTGGTGAATCAGCAACATGTGTTGCCACTGAGCTGCCTGAGAGGAGCTGATATACTAGAAATAACATCCATTAATGCAGGAATACATGATTCAACACTGGAGTTTAAACTGTTCTCATCTGAACGGTTTTCGTTGTGTTTTAGAGCAAGTGTGGAGGTTACGAGTTTTAAATGTATGTGTATGAACAAAAACTCTCACGGTGAAGACAGAAAATTAAGTAGAAAAGGGAAACAATGTAATGGTAGTTAAAAGATAACCCACATCCAGTTAGTTCAACCTTTATTTATGCAGGTTAGTCTCATTGAGCCTTGAGAACTCATTTACAAGAGAGGCCTGCTTTAAACAAAAAAACATAAACGAGGTACAGACAACAATAGACAATCATATAAAAGCATATAAAATGAAAAGGAAATAAAATAAATTATATTAAAACAAAAACAGCTACATTATAAAGCGATGTAAAACACTAAAAC